CGACCACTCGGCCAACGAGGCATATTTGCTGCACACTCTTGATAACCATATTTGGTTTATTTTTGATAACAATATTGTATTTTATTGGTATTAAATGGTTACAAATCGAGCTATACATAACCAATTTGTCATAGTACCGCTTTGTATGGTCTTTCTGCACATTCGACGATTACCTTCTATTCTTATTTGAACGTTTACAATAATTGTAAAAAGAACAACTTATTGCATTCCAGGAAGATTTTCAACAATCTGTGAGTATTTCTTAAGAATTATATACTAACAAATATTAATTCAATGTGTTCGTGTATCTGTTCACTAGAATTTAATATGGCAGTACTAAAGTGTAGTTATAACATATTTTTTATTCAGTTACCACTATTAGCGACAGCCAATAACTAGACCTACTAGTTAGTAGATCACACACATAGCCCTAGGAATTAATTTTTTTGATAAAATAAATAGCATCTACGAAATATGTACATACATACATAACTTCACGCCTGTCTTGCATAGGGGTAGGCAGAATCTATGGAACGCCAATTGCTACGATCCTTACATACTTCTTTCGCTTCATCAACAGTCATCAGTATTTTCATGCATACTCGTCGGTTAAGGGTACTTTTAATTTGGCCTTTCTTTAATATATCGCCAATTTGGTCAGTATATGTTCGTCAGGGCGCTCTTTACGTCTCTTCTTTAGTTAGCTGTAAGTATGTATGTAAGTATTTAATTTTTAAGCTATATTAAATAAATTCCCCATCCACAGGTTCGAAACACAATAAATTCTCCAGAGTTGTTGGAGACGGACGTACAGTTAGTCTCCAAGAAGAACTGCAAACGGCGCTGGGAACCTCGTTACCACTTTATTATAGACGAGCATATGATCTGCACGAGAGACAGCACTGACGATGATGCCATGGGCAATGTCTGCTCGGTCAGTATAAAATACATCATCAATATCATCATATTTATATCATAAACTTTGTATATTTGTCTCTTTGTTACTCCTTCTCGTCAAGACGGTTGAAGGAATCGAGCTGAAAATTGGAACAGGTGTAGTTTATGGTCTAGAACAGTACTATGCAATAATACAACTAAAATAAGATGAAGCTACAACTGTTCTACCATGTATCGTTGTAAGCAAAAATTTATTAGTACCAAAATATTTGATCCACGAATCTATTCCGCGTTATTCCAGTTCACATCAGTTTTCTGTGAGGTCTAGGTATCACTCCAAGGTCCAAGTCGAAATAAAATTATTTACTTAATCTATTAGACCAGGAAGAGACTTTTAAACGAACAAATATTAAAACGACAGTTTTCTAGTGAAGCTCGTTCTAAAGTATAGATTTATAGAAAAGAACGAGCAAGAAACTCCATAGATGACTCTTTTCAATCAGGTTCACAATACAAGGTCTAGGACTTATGGTCTTATATATTAGTGTCGCATGGTTCTCCTACGTGAATTGGTTAATGAAAGTTCAAGTCACCAAACAAAATGTATTTATTTCTAGGAACGCGAAGTCAATTGCAAAGAATTGGTTTACAGTGACGATGAGACTAAAGAATATGATGAAGAACCATCCAAACCCAGGAGACGTATGATGATAGAGCCGAGCCAACTAGAGATTCACACAGGACGACATTTTCTTGATACTAGAAGATCACATAAAATTATAACTGGAGGATTTTGTGAGGTACGCTTATGTAACAGTTTCAACTGGAGTAGGATTATACAACTTCCTTTGTTGTATAATGACTATCCTAAAATACAAACTAAATAACGGTTCTATTCTCACGTAAAATGCCTAGAAAAGTCCATTTGAGTGAGTATCAACCGTTATTTTCAATTAACTTTATGTTTAAAAACTTAATACATTCATAGATTAGTACAGATTTTAAACATATGTATTAAAGGCGAAGCGTCACCGATTCACGGTGGATATCCCACCCACACACACGAAGCGCTTCGCATCAAGCTACCTTGTGAGACTGCTAAGGATTGGAATTATTTGCCAGAATCCTCGATTTCTGGCAAAGAATTCACAGAAACTCGCAATTCACTGGGGCCTTGAAGACAGGTCTCCAAGGCCCGAGTGAATAAGTTGCTTATGGGCGGACGTGCTCCATCGTAGACTGCATCATCGCTAACCACCAGGTTAGAAAGTTGCCAAACGTCGGCTCTTAATGAGCCGATATATAAAAAAGTATCTATATCAGAAATTGGGAACGTATATATCCAAGCATATTTCTTCCATTACCGCTTGATCTATCTAACGAGACGGAGAATTTAAGATCTCCACAGTCAGAATTTTACAAGACTAAGTCAGGTCGTATTGTCAGACCAACTAAGAGGTTTATTGATGAAATAGATTAAGTCCTATTGTAATTGTTTTAAACTTAAGAAGGGGGATGTTACATGTATATACATCACTAATTAGTAAGTAGTGGCCCCCTCACTATAATGTGTTATATAAGGTAGGACACACTCGTCATTAACGCCGCTGTCTACCTGTCATAATCTAGTGTGTGTACACGTCGTGCGCCCTGCACATTATTGTAATATATCCGACTATAATTCATTAATCCACCAACATAACACATCCAAAATAATATTCTCATATTGTGTGTTAGAATGATCATGGAGGACCCCTGATCATCGGGCAAGGCAAGAGTTCCGTGGTAATCGGAGTCATGTCTGCTTGCCTCACAAAGGACATTACCAGAAAATGCTATGGACCTTTCCTCTTCACCAGCGTGTACCACTATAGGAACCTCATCACTTGCGCTATTGACAAGGATCTTGGGTATGTTTTGTATATTTATTTACACGTTAAAATTAGCCATCTACTCTTTACTATGTTTTAAAGTAAAATCACCAAATAAATTATGCTTTAGTAGAACTAAACTCACTAACAAATTATGTCTTTTCATCACAGACCTACATGCAAAAGATTGCTACGGTCTTCGAAAACTCCTATGATTGAAACCAATTTTGATTGGAGCAACCACGTAGATGGGTAAGCATTCTTAAACAACATCTTATTAATATCAATAATAAATTCAAACCCGACATCACATTTTTTAGTAAACAGCTGCAAAAGCCAAAGTCAAAATCATTTATTTCAATTAGACCAGGAAGGCACTTTTGAACGTCAAAATAAAACATTTAAATATTAAATAATAAGAAAAAATGGTCTGTAGGTCAGTCCTCTAGTGAAGCTGTTTGCTCGTTCCAAAGTGTAGATTCCTATGGAAAAGAACGAGCAAGAAACTCCCTAGGTTACAGGTCTATTTCAATCAGGTCGGGAAAGGTATTATTGGATTAATAAAAAAATATCAGTAGTAACACGGAGTCTACAATTGTGCCCGGTGTATCTAATGGCAATAGGCTCACCCCCTATTACATGGGCTTCATAACATAAATAGTGAAAAGTGGGTGTTACAGTATTTTTTTCTTATTTAAAAAAAATGTTGCCCCACATTAGGATTTTCTCCTGTGTCGTAGGTGCATTTACAAACATACAAGTTCACATGCACAATGTCATCCAGACCCGAAACAACAATTTGTGGATCACACAAAGCGTTGTAACATTGTACGGCAGCATTAAATGCCAATGGGGGCACGCCTCAGCCTATCATGTTAAACTTAATCAAAATCAAAAAAATTATGACTAAGAACACAATAAAACCTGTAGTAAATAGAACGAACAAAGCAATTGACGCCACCTGTAGACACCCGTAACACCAGAGGGGGTTGTCAGCGTTTTACAGATAGGAACTGAGGTGAAGATGCCCTTTACATACACAACATCACAACAGGCATTTTATCCCCGAAGGGGTAGGCAGAGGTGCACATTATGGCACTTAATGCCACTGTACAATGTAACACCCACTCTTTTCACTATTTATTATATGAGTCCCATGTAGTAGGGGGTAAGCCTATTGCCATATACCGAGCACAATTAAAGACCCCGTGCCCAGAGGATGCCCTTTACCGGCACAAAAACAATTAAACATTTACAATTACTTTTCCAGCCCAGCCAAAGATGATCCCTCAACGCACAAAATTCGTACTGATGATACGGATCCCGATTATCGAAAGAAAGTAACAAGGTCAGCCGCAAGAGCAAAACCCGCAAAAAAAACGAATACAACTGATTCTGTCGCCACTTAGATAATTAGCCTTAGTATTTAAACAATAAAGTTCCTATTAGTAGTTTATTACTCGTATGGCTATGAGGAGATACGACTTTATGTCTAGTCTAAAACATTTAATCATCATCATTATCATTCATTATAAAACTTTCAGCTATGTGTTTGTCTTTTACTCCATTAACATGTAGTAAAATATTTCTATATTTTACGATCCAGTTCTATCCAGTGGAACAGTCGCGGAGAACCTAAAGGGTAACCGGGGCTCCAACTCGACGTGCAGGAGAAGGTACGGGGTGGTTTTTAGTCAGTAAGAGTCTGACAATCCGTCCCGCCTCACCCAGGCGGGAGCAGTTATTCGATGATTTTCCCCCCTTAAAAAAAAAACCAGTGGAACAAAATAATTATAACTAATGCAAAGTAGGTTAAACGGTAAAGTGGATATAATCCACCAGACCTCGTAGTCTATCGACACCTCTTCCACCTAACCTAATTGCCTTTTCACACGTCCGGGTTAAAAGGCTCCGGGTATCCGGCGCCGGATACCCGACGGCGCAGTGTATGGGCATGTACTGTAGCTTTCACACGTACCGGCGTAATTTGTATAACGTGTGAAATGACACTAAGGCTAAACGACAAAATGTATCAGGATGTATCACCTGATGGTAAGCAATAAGCGCAACACATGGACACTCGCAACACCAGAGGAGTACCAAGTGTATTCTCGACCTCCAAAGCCTTAAGTTTCTATAATTAAAAGCGAAAGTATAATTTTATTAAATACCAAGCATGCATGAAATCATATAACACAATTACTATAACAATCAAGTCATGGATAACAACATTAATGATTGTGTCCAAAACCGATTCCTTAAAAGATTCATTGCCAATGTCTGTCAAGTTTTTCAATCAGATATTTGAATTTACAAAGCAGGAAACTTCAAAATTAAAATGTAAACAATCAATGAAACAGAACACCGTGAAATTGTTAAAGCAAGAATTTTAATAGGCACCGCTATTTGGTTACAAAACTCTTTTTAGAAAATTAATCGCAATGACAACTTTTCATTCTAGAAATGCGTTTTATATCATCAGCACAATTTGTTACGCTTTAGGTAAGTAGAACCGTAATTAACTCGTTGAGTACCGTCATTGTAGACACAATTATAGAACAATAGGTTGCGGTCACCGGTGACCGCTTGGTGTTTTACAGTTTAATTGTATCACTTAAATATACAAATGATTCCAAAGGACTGAACAAGCAATAACAATATAAACAAAATTAGTAGTTAATGAAACTGATTAAGATCCACAATCGAATACTGTTCCAGGTGTGTCATCAATAGAAGTGGCCACAACAATTCCTAGAAAGGTAACAGATATATTGAAGAAGACTAACGTATCAGATATCAAAGATATTCTTAACAATTCAAGGAGAATTGTTGTTGGAACTGAAGCTTTGAACAGTAGACCTTATATGGTAAGCAAATATGTTGAATTAGATAGTCATGTACGTGATTTGAATAAGAAGATACTGAAGATAGGTTACACAAAGAGACAAAAGCTTTGGCTTATTCATATTACTAACTACAATGCATGTGTTATGGTAGGTCAAGTCTGGCCTCCTTAATAATTTTATTTAATTAAAACGCCAACAAGATAACATTAGGTATTAAAAGTCCAGATGTATATGTTTTAATCTTGGACTTCAGACAATATGTTTGATATAATTTTCGTGTATGCTTCCTATAGGTATATTTGAAGTTGCCCACAAACAATCCTAAGTATAAAGACTATAGACGGTGGCTCTGTGGTGGGGTTATCATCCACGAAGAGTACGTTCTCACATCTGCCGCCTGCATCGAGGATGCCAAACACTTCTACATCGTGTCTGGCACTTACAAGTATAAATTCAGTATTATTTTTTTATCAATATATATTTTGATGTATTTTTTGGCAATTAAGTCTTTAATACATTTTTATTCCTCTAGACATGACGCCAGCGATGACCGTTTTTCTAACCCTTGCATCAAAAATGGAGCCAAAAAAGCCATTTGGAAATGTATTCCTCGAAGTAAGTATATTCATTACAAATTCAGAAAAAAATGCATTTTAGCTGGTAGCTAAAGGCGTACCAATCTTGTTTCATTTATTATAGACATAATTTACATTTTCTTGGCATTAACAAAACTACTTTGAATCCCAGATTATGTATTCGATGGTCATGAAAATGACAATATAAGGTGGATGAACAATGACATTGCAATTGTAAGAGTTGAGGATGAATTCGACTTTACCCGCCGAGTTAGAGGATGTGACTATACACCTAAGCCCATTTGTTACAACAACCAAAGTGCCAAATTGGAAGAAGCAGGCAATACGGCCAGTATCGCTGGCTGGGGTAGTACATCTAGGTACAGTGATGTAAGTACAGAAGATACTTTATTTCATACAAAAGTTTAAGATAAACCAGCCGATAAACAATGTTCCTACCGTCGATTTAAGATCTATTGACAAAAAAGAAAATTGAAGAATTGTAACATAACATTTTTTGGTGTACCATCTACAACTATTAATAACAATTACTTTGTTATTAAAGATTTGACTATCATGAATTCTTTTAACCAATTTTTTACAGAATCAGGGTTCTGAGAGTGGAAAGCAAAATCTTCTAGAAGCACCAGTAACTATAATCTCAAAAAACCAGTGTAAGAAGCGATGGGGAAAGCGGTACCATAACATTATAGATAATTACATGATCTGCTCCAAAGATATAATTCCGGATCTTTCTGAAGTATGCGCGGTTAGTACACACACATGTATCTACATTTATATGTGTGATTTAGGCCTACTGTCCAGGACGCGTCATTTAACGAATGCATGCATGCGCAACCTAGAAATTATGATAAGCGGATTTAAATGAGTAGTGACTGACACAACGTTATCGCTTTGTGGGCAGTTTTCATTGTTTTTAAGCAAGATTCGAACATTTGTCAGTTGTAAGCCGCCTAGTGTAATTTGTAGGTTGCATGCATTCATCAACTGACGCGTCGTGGATACTAGGACTCAGTCATAGGATTCAAAACTATAGCCGCAATATTTGCAATTAGCACTTTTTAACGGGTAACCGGGGCTCCGGCTCGACGTGCAAGAGAAGGAACGTGGTGGTTTTTAGTCAGTAAGAGTCTGACACTCCCTCCCGCCTCGCCCAGGCTGAAGCAGTCATTCGATGATTTTCCCACCTTAAAAAAAATCATGCTCTCTCCGCATTTATGAATTATATAAGTAGCTTTATGAAGCGAAGGTTGTTTATCGTCTAATATCCGTACTGTCCTTTTCTATGGCCTATCTGACTATACAATGATGAAGTAGGGTCGAATAAATAAGCAAGCTTCGGACCCTTTGACGACCCATTTTAGATATCAAAACAAAAACTTTAAGATCGTATGGTTTAAAATTATTAGAATAATTTTGTTTGCAGGAGAAGTACGTGGATTGCACAGACGTGCAGTATTCAGATTCAGATGAAACTGACAAAAGACGAGTGCTCAATCCAAATGAATTGGCATTACATTCAGCGTACCACAACGAATCTACAAGAAGACAGGTTGTTGGCAGTGGAGGGTTTTGCGAGGTATATTATAAAAAAGTATAAAATCTACTAAATGATGGTTTAAGAAATTCAACAAATTGTTTTAGCACTTGAACATTATTAAAAGAAAATGTGTTTGTTTAATAGGAATTGACGCAACATATGTACGCGTCAATGGCTACGAAACACTTAAACAAATAGAATCAGGCGTTAATTTGCTCAGTTGTTAATATAGTACTTTTAATTCCGTAAAGGAACTAAAATTAGATGTTTGAATACTAGAGTATTAGTAATTTAGCTAACATTTTTAACAAAGCCGAAGATACGGCTCATCGTTATATTTGGTTTGTTTCCCTCACGCTACTTCATGTAGCACTGTTTTCATCTTAATTTGTTGTTAGGTTCAAATTCAAATTCTTTATTGCGTTTTTTCCAGAATGATCATGGTGGTCCTTTAGTAGCTGGTAATTCTGGAAACGCGATGGTCATAGGCATTATTTCCGCTTGTCTGGTCAAAGAAAATACAAACAAGTGCTACGGCCCCTTTCTGTACACCAGCGTCTACAAGAACAGGGTCCTCATCAATTGCGCTTTATTTAAAGAGGCACAGTAAGTCTTGTTTCAAATAATCGAAAGAAATTAGATTTTAATAATTTGTTCTTGATTAATGATTGCACGTTTTCTTTGATATTTACGTCTTCAATTGAAATAGGTTCATCCCTGATGTTTTTACAGATCTTCGTGTGAAAAACTATTCCGATCAGGAGGAACGCATATAGAAACTCATTTGAGTTGGGCTGATCATCCTGATGGGTAATTATTCAAGCATTTCATATTTTATGCCCATTTGAACAAACCTCTCATAAATTTTAAGGAACCCCTAAGCTAAGACGTATAAACTAAGATAGCCGACACTTAACGACGTTTTAGACCTATAAGTGACACCTAATGGTAAAGGTAAAGGGTTAGTTTAAGTGCTCTTTTACGCTAAGTCATTCTTAATTAGAAGATGGTTTAGGGTTTGGTGATGGAAACAGCCATTAGAGTTTCTTTATGTTGCATAAATACTTTTTCTACCAAAATAATTTTAATCTATTTAAATTGTTTTACTGGGTTGGTGTCAGCACTAAGCCTTTACCCTGTTCTGAATATCATTATATTAGGTACATATATCGACTACCACCCGAAAGAACTCGCAAAACCCATGCCATCACATTCCTGGCTAGACCCGAGGTCACATTTTTAAGGTTTTGACTAACAACACCATTACAAATGTTAGTGATGATACTAAGTAAGTCGGTTATAAAATGTTATTTAATAGGCCAGCGAAAAATGAAGTGAAAAAGGCTAAAGAAGAAGAGCGAAGACGACAATTTGAGGCCAACCTAGCCACTAATACAACAACATCGACTCCATCAAACGTTACGATAGATGAAGTCAAGGAAAACAGTGGTAATGGCACAAGATTCGATGAGAAAGAAAAACAAAAGCAAACAAACAGTACAATACATTAATGTTCAATAATGCAAATAACTGAGGGGCGATTTTCCAATCATCACTTAATTTTTAACAGTAGAATAAATTTGTTATTTGTCAGTTTTTTGTATGGAAGAATTATCAAATATTCATATTTATTCCTCAGTTAAAATATATTTTGCGTTGTAAAAATCAGCCTTAAGTAGATAAATAACGATTTCTATGTAAACTTAATATTTTAGAATAAAATCTATTATTTTTCAGTGTGTATGAGTCTTAATTTAAACTACACATCCTACCAAGAAATAAAATTCTTAGGCACACTGCATTGCATTCCATCGCCTAGGATTGAGGAGTAGATTTGAACAGTGGGCACAAGTATCTAAAGCACAAGCACATAAAGACATCCCACAGGTTGCTCGTGAGTGAATTGCCCCGCCTGGGAAGTTGTCAAATAAAATATTGCAAGGCTGAAACTAATATTTGTCGATACATTATGAAATCGTATGTATTACAAAAGGTCATATTTTCAACGCTCCCAAGTCGTACAAGTACAACAATCAAGTAGGTCTTTTCAATTGAATGTAAGTGTACAGTTCCGTTCAGCAGCGTTCCGTAGAGCAACAGACTGATCTAGTTATTAAAAAATTTTACTAAGTAGCTCAAAACGTCTACGATACTTATTAGTCGGAATAAAAAAAATTGAGCAGACCAGAAAACATGTTTAAATGAAATTAGCCATTTCCACAATTTGCATGCGGCTGTGATATCTTTCTTTCAATAGGTATCTATGTAATAAAATCTGAACCTTTGATTTACTGTATCTTTCCCTTTTGTCATAGCAACTACAGGTCCATTCTAAGAACTAAACATCAACATCAGCTAGCTCATCGGATATCAAATCCATAACCAGGTTTTGAATTAAAATAATTTCTATGTTGCGTGAAATTAGTTTTTTTATAGAGACCTTTTAATTTCAATGCAGGCGATTGTTCTGATTTGGTCTTTCCACAATGAAGTTTATGATATGTATGTTCCTGGCGATTCTAATGGTCATAGGTAATGTATTGTTCTGTTGTTTTGTTTTGTTCATTAAGGGTCGATTTTTCAATCATCACTTAATTCTAACTGTAGAATAAAATTACATTTGACAGTTTTTAGTATGGAAGAATTGTTAAATATTCAAAGTATAATTTGTCTGAATGGCGCGGCGCGGCGTTGGAAAAATCGACTTGAAGTAGTCTCTTGCTTCTTGAGTCATTAAGACTTTTTGACTACATATTTCCGTGTCCCTACCGCTTTAGTCGTATTTCAGCTACAGAACAAGCAGGATTATTTCCTTCTATGAACACAATTGCTCCTACTTATTTACTGTAATATTTGTTTTTTCGATTTGTAGCTGCCCCTAGAGACACGATCGATATTGAATCGATATTTAACTCAGCGCTTAAAAGGCTAAGTACGACGATAAACCAAATAAATATTTGTGAGGTAACTTGAATGCGTGTATGCATTCAGAGTCAATTTCTAACGAACGACGACGAATAAGACCACGTTATAATGCTAAGTGCAATTATATTCCCTATTACAGATGTCAAAAGTCAAGGAGCAACACCACACACACCAACGGAAGCAGAAATACGAAGTATGATAAATGATACCCGAAGAATTATTAATGGACAAGAAGTTACAGATAACAGACCGTATATGGTAAGAATAGACACTAAACCCATTCTTTATGGAATTATTTTGAGGCATATACGTTAAATGAATTTTCAATTAGCTGCAAAATCAAGTACTGATCACGGAAATGTATTTGGCGCTGCTGGTCGATCTTCAGATCTTTACTCCCTTGACGAATAATTAACTTTAAAATACAACTAACCGTATTTTGGACTATCTTTTGCCTCAGGTGTATCTTAAACTACCTCGGACCAATGTAAAACAACCGAATTACAAAACGTGGTTGTGCGGTGGCGTCATCATCCATGAAGAATATATTTTAACGTCCGCAGCGTGCATTGAAGACGCTGAACATTTCTATATAGTTTCAGGGACGTACAAGTAAGTTGGTTAAGGTTTTGGACAAAACTAGCATCCAGAAGCTATTACAATAAATGACCTACCTATAAGAAAATCTTACCTTACAGATATGACGATGAGGATGATAGATATAACAATCCATGTATTAAAAATGGAGCGAAGAAAGCTATTTGGAAGTGTGTACCCAAAAGTAAGTTGTTCAAATCAAATCAGCGACTAACATACAACGACGAATTGAAATCGTGTACTGTAGCTATTTTAACTAGACTTAACTAGACTCAAGAGATTGTCAATGTCAGAAAACAGATTCTATGCCAAAAAAGGATCAACATTTGTAAAAGTGTACAATGATGCATAAAGTTATCCTATAAGGGCCTGTTTGACACTCCCTTCCGCCTCACCCAGGCAGGAGCAGTCATTCGATGATTTTCCCCCCTTAAAAAAAAAAAAAAAAAAAATATGGGCCTGTTTCACAATATCTGGATAGCCGTTATCTACCAGATAAATTTGAATTAAGAACGTAATTTGTATGAACTATCAGTCACATAAGTTTTGTATTACAACTCTAAGCAGAAAGTGTAACGGTATTACTTTCTTTTTAAAATATTACAGACTATGTATTCGATGGTCACGAGAATGATAATATCAGATGGATGAACAACGATATAGCCGTAGTCAAGATAGAAGATGGGTTCGACTTCACTAGAAGAATTCGAGGTTGCGATTTTATACCTAAACCAGTTTGTTATAACAATCAAAGTCAAACTTTGGAGAATCCTGGAACAGTCGTCTCTTTAGCTGGATGGGGTACGACAGCTAGATATAATGATGTAAGTGAGTATAATTAGTTAAAAATGAAGATGAGTTTGGTTTTGATTTTAAAATGAAATTGTCAGACTCACAATGGATTGATTGACTGTGACTATGAGTATGACGTGATTGTTTCATGGTAGACTACGATTTGATTGGCAAGCGCAGTAGATTTCTATCTACTTGACTTGCAAAGAACACATACATTACATTTTGATCAGAGACTAGTAAGCTAAATTCCAATTGGAAACTACAAGTTACAAATAATATAACATAAGTTGATAAACATAGCGTAACATTTTTACGCGTTGTCGGTTTATATAAATTTTAAATGACGTTGACTAGTACTATAATTTTTATATGAACTACGAATAAAAACCGACTTCAACTCCCTCTTTTTCGAAGTCGGTCAATACACTAAAGCATTCTCTGAAATGTAACAAACACTTTGCTGAAAACCGCATCAAAACTGGTTCAGCCAATCGCGAGACAATCACATACATAAACTGACTTTCTTCATTTTTTGAAAACTGCTAAGTATACAGAAGTCGTGGTGGCCCGGAGGTTTAAGACGCCTGCTTCTCATGCATGAGGGTGCGGGTTCGAAACCTACCAACGGCAAGTACCAATGTGACTTTTTCCGAGTTATATGTACTTTCTAAGATTATTTAGACACCACTGACAAACGGTGAAGGAAAAACATCGTGAGGAAACCTGGACTTATAATTTCTGATTATAAGTTTGAAATCGCCAACCCGCATTGAGCAAGCGTGGTGATTAATGCTCCAACCTTCTCCGTGTGAGAAGAGGCTTTGCTTAGCAGTGGGCATTTGTAGGCAATCGATGATGTAGTATACAGGAAACTTGTATCTTATGGATACAAATTAACCAGTAATCCTCATAGCCACTAATCGCATTAAACCTCATATTATTATATAATTACAGTGGGTAAATAGAAGAAAAGACAACCAACAGAACTTGCTAGAAGCACACGTCGAAATCATACCCAAAAATAGATGCAAACGGCGCTGGGGCTCCCGATACCATAACATCATCGACAACTACATGATTTGCACCAAAGACATTGGACAGACCATGTCTGAGATCTGTAATGTAATTATGTCTTTCTTTGTTAAAAATCCAACCCTAATCTGCAACAAATACGGTAAATTTTTCGAAGACATTGTCTGCTGTATCTGTAACTATCTTTTTAACTTTACAGGAGAAATATGTAGATTGCCAGGATATTAACTACTCGGACGAAGACGAAAGTAATAGACGTGATGCAGGTGCAAAATCAGTAAGAGTTCCTACTAATCTGGTCATGCATTCAGCGTACCACAATGAAACAATAGGTATAGGCAACAATAATAGTATCAGAAGAACGGGACCAATGGTTGATGGAGGATTTTGTGAGGTTAGTCAAATAACAACAATAGTAAGAACTCATTAGAGAAAGAATGAATGTCCAATTAGAAAAATGAGTAGATAAAACTACTTTAATGTAAATTATTGAAGTTAATGATACATCTAATAGAGATCTATGATTAAATAAATTACCGATATTGACAAATCCATTTCTGGAAAATGTTTTGGCATACTTAATAATTATAGGCTAACGTTTTTTTAGAATGATCATGGTGGACCACTGGTATATGGTTCTGGAGTGAATTCTATCGTCATTGGCGTCATCTCTGCTTGCCTTGTCAAAGAAAGAACGAACAAGTGCTACGGACCATTCCTTTATACAAGTTTGTTTAAGAACAGGCAGTTTATATCGTGTGCTATTTACAAAGATGTTGAGTAAGTATTTCAAATACCAGCTTAAAAATAGTGTTGATTGGATGGATATGTATAGAAGACTGATGATCATACATATTACAGAGGTACTCCTATAATACATGATAAGTTGATTGATAAAATAATATCTCTAACATTTATCTAATTTGTCTAATCGGTCAATATTTACAGGCCCAAATGCCGCAGGCAGTTCAGATCTGGTGTCACACACGAAGAAAAGGTGTTCTCATGGGTGAATCATCCAGACGGGTAATTATTAATATTGGAAACAAATTATATCTCTCTATTATTCCATTATCTAATAACAAATTCAATTCGTTAATAGGCCAGCAAAAACTGAGTTGTCTCCAGAGAAATTAAAAGAATTGAAAACTTTGGAAGCAGCGAAAGAGCAAGCTGATGCCGCAGCGGATGCAGCAGCAGCGTCTTTGTTTATGCCAGTCGTAAGAGCTCATGAACAACCAGAATCATCAAACAAATCTGACAAGATATTTGCAGGAAGTGGTTTAATCCTACGAACGCTCAATGACACAACAGAATCGGAAATAACGAACCAAACAAACAAATCTACGATATAATTATAATAATGGCTACTTATTAAAATAAATTTGACATAATAAGTGTTCTAGTTATTTACCTTGATGTAGATTAGAAGAAGATTTATTAAATTAATGAACCTAATCAGACAAAGTCTATTTTCTACGATTAGTTTAATAAATAGCTTTCTCTTTTGATGGTTAGAATACGAATAGATCATAGCCAACTGATTTTTTAGACTAATTTTTCTTAATGAGATTAATAGTAACTTTAAGTACTTAAATTGAAAGTGGAATAATTATTAAGGAAGTATAAAAATAACATTATGTTATTTCGAGCGAAACTAATATTTATTTGAATTAAGTAGGTTACAAAAACTACGCATAACAATTTCGGAAATGTTTATTCAGAAAAGGTATGCATTCTCTTTGCCAGTTCAATTAACTTTAACTAAATTAATTGCATAGTACCTACGTAACATTAAATGGCTTCCGGATAGCGGATAATTGACTTCATCGAAGCGTAACTTTCCGGAGATTGACCAAAAAATTATCATCCTCAATTTCATTTTGTGATTGAACAAATAATTTTTTCGATCCTTCTGGGATCGGTCCGTGAGTTAAAATGACGAAATATTGCCTGCTTCTGGTGTCGATTTTTCTACTTTTAGGTAAGGAGATCTTACAGGTCCTTTTACACTATTGAATAACGATACTTTTATACTAACTGATAATTAACGGTATTGCGATATTCTAGGATCAGTTTTGACAAATTCAAAAAGCGACAAAAAAGAAGAAACGTCAGCAAAGCCACATCATACGAAACATCACTCGAAAAGTGCCAATAAATCAGTAGACGATGTAGATGAAATAGCGGATGAGGGTTGGAACTACGAAAATACTACTACTGTAGATACTAGGAGAATTCTATTCAGTAAGAGAACCGAGAAAGGAAAAAGACCTTATATGGTGAGTACTTAATTAGGTAATGAAAAAAATCTTAAAAGTACACGTAAATAATTAAGGTATTGAACTAATAAGAAGGTACGCGTCGTCACTGCCACGCTAGCAAAATAAATTCTTTAACTTTAGAAATGTTCCAAATCTCTTGTTACCAAGGGCACAGCCAAAGGCAAGTGATAAGATACGTTTTCTAACAACTAGATTTTAAAACAAACAATGACATTAATTAAAATTAAAATATACTTTTGGAGAAAACAAATAAAATAGCAACAAATTATTATGCAATAAACGAAACTGAAAGTGAGGACATAATAGATTATAAAGTCAATTAAAAGGATTCAGGATTTCATGAAGTTAATAGAAAAACCAGTAATAGTACGCATTTGAACAGAATAAAATGTAGAAAATTCACCTACGCAGGTATATCTCCAACTAACAAAAGAATCAGCCAAGGCTCACAAGTACAGAGGCTGGTTATGTGGAGGTGTGATCGTTGCTAACTACTACGTGCTGACTTCAGCAGCCTGTGTTGAAGACGCCGACAGATTCTACATCGTCTCCGGCACCACTAAATTCGTAGACAGCTTCGATTATAAGAATGACGAATGCGTTTGTAAACATCGGCGCAAAGTTGTGTGGAAATGTATTCCCAAGAGTAAGTCTTTTATATCATATGAATCTCATAAACTACACATGTGAAGATTAGGGCTAATGTCCACCTTGTGTCATTTGGCGCGTACCTGCAACCTACAAAATACAAATGATAAATGCCTGCATCTTGCAAACCTGTCTATGAAACGGCAATGTTGCTTGACTTACTCCTCATGCAAATCCGTCTATCGTTATTTGTAGGGTGCATGGATTTGTCAAATGACGCGTCATGGCCAGTAGGCCTTAGTTTTGTGCAGGTCTCCATAGCTTATTCAAATCAAATAGTTTGTAGTATTTTAGAACTAATGAAAATTAAAATTCTTAAATATTTCAAATAATTTTCTAGACTACAAATTCGACTTCCAAGACAGTATCAAGTGGTCGTCTAACGATATCGCTATAGTCAAAGTAGACAAAGCCTTCAAGTTCGGTGTCCAAGAAAAAGGATGCGAATTTAGCACTGATTTAATTATGTATAACAATATCAGTAGAGAAATGGAAAAACCTGGAACCAAGGGTTGGATCGCTGGATGGGGCAGCGGTAACAATTTCAGAGAGGTAATGTGAAAATTGGAATAGGTAGTAACTATGTAATCGATCGCAAAGATTTCAACTAACTGATGACTCTTTACAGGGTGTCTACCGTCGTCAAAAAGATCATGTCCCGAAGAACAGTAAGTGTCTTCAAGAAGCCAAAGTATGCATAATGGACAACGAACAATGCGCGAAGAAATGGGCACAAAGGTTTAGGGAAATTATTACACAATACATGATCTGCACTAAAGATGTCATGAAACGTCTTAGTGAATTGTGCGATGTAAGTATCGATTTAGAAAAATATATGATGGCAGTGTATTGTATCTACTTTGTTTTCTCATTTTTATGAACTCTTACAAATATTCTTGGAAATTCGTAGAAAAGATACGCGAATTGTACGGACGTGGAAAGCCGCCGTCAAGACTCGGAGATTCCTACGAAAGCCCTCAACGTAGACTTGGGAAGGCATCTTAGAGACCCTGACGATTACACGGCGAGGAGATCATCTATGCAAGGAGGTTTTTGTGAGGTAAATACTAAAAGTAATAGACGTATTGAAAATACTTCGAATGCGAAAAAGGTGATTGGTAGTTTTAATTGAATGTTAGACTAGATGCTAAAAATATATAAAAAATTGTTGCTGTTCGTTAGTCTAGCTAAAACTCCAAAAAGGCTGAAACAATATGGCGTTATTAGAATATTTGGGGAAGTCCAAGGAAGTTCTAATTGACCAGAAAAAAATGTTTGAGGCTGTATGAGGTTTTGTCGGGTCAGCTAGTTTTAGATAATTATGATTTTACTTCTCACTTGCAGAATGACCATGGTGGACCTTTAATCGTAAGATATCAAGGCAAAGAACGAGTTATAGGAGTCATTTCAGCTTGTAAGATTGACCCTAAAAGTCACAGCTGTCATGGACCTTTCTTATACACATCCATCTATAGAAATCGTCAGTTCATTTCTTGTGCTATTCACAAAGACGTTGAGTAAGTGTTTTGGAGATGATCTTAATGAATATGAATAAAGTCGACTTTTGATTGCCAAATAAATCGATTGCAATGTTGTTGTTTACAGGGAGAATTGTAGAAGAGTATTCCGTTCAGGTATAACTCATGAAGAGTGGTCAGTTTCTTGGGATAATGCTGAGTAAGTATACAAATGATGTACAATCAAGAATTTTCAATTAAATTGGTATCATCAAATGAAGCAGTGACACCTAATAAACTATTTCTTTCAGTGACGATGACGACATGAATGATTCCCCTGTTAATAGGTAAGTATTGTGAATGCTGGAGTAGAAGATTATTTGAAGTAGTTTAATGTCGTATTAATTTTATATTTGTTTATTTCTAGAAATGAGAAACCTCCTGCCGGACGGGAAAGGTGCTAATGTTTTTAATAAGTTACATATTTTTTGTAAAGGTCTTATAATTATCATCTTATACGTTTTTCTTTACAGTGTCGCTGATGACAAGTCGTCAGGAGAAAGGTGAAATGATAATTATAAAAGGCGAAATTAATTGGTTTATCAGCAAAGTCTTCTAGATACTAACTATTTCGTTTTGTTTACAGTGAATCTAAAGAGAACGTTCTGAGACAACTTAAGTACAAATCACATTTATATGATACGAACCTATTTATTTAACATAAATACATATCACTTTTATGTTTCCCCTCCCTATATTTATTTCAGAGACGACGCCAAGAGTCCAAACACAGATAAACCAAAGACAGATAGCTCAACCCCAAAAGACGAAGGGTCAAGTTCGGAAACGGAGGCAGAAGAAGCGAAAGCGACTACAGAAAAAGCAGTGAAGAAAGAAGAAAACAATGAAAATACAGAGAAACCTGAGAAGCACAAGAAGAAATCGAAGTCTAAAAAGCATAAAGCAAAAGTAGAAGTACCAGAAGTGAAAGTAGAAACGAGTAGTCTGAAACCAGTGTCTGCAGAAGAAAGAGGGAGTTCAGCGGAGATTCAAGTTAGAGGGCAACTTAAAAAGGACCCGGCGTCATACGAGTCAAGTCCAGACGATAATGTTAACGATCCAGACAACGAATAATGTTGGATCAATAAATCATTATAAGGTTAAATAATAAGTATTGGTTTTAATTTTGTAAAACACCCATAGGTCTTATCAAATATGGCATCACTACAGAGTATAAAACAAAGTCGCTATCCGCGCCGTCTGTCTGTCCCGATGTATGCTTAGATTTAAAACTACGAAACGGAATTTGAAGCGGTTTTTTTAATAGGTAGAGTGATTCTTAAAGAAGGTTTATATGTATATTACATGCATATTGCACCCGTACGAAGCCGGGGCGGGTCGCTAGTGAACAATAATATTTCATCATTAGTTGAAGATCATCAATCAAAGAGCATTAAAGTTATGTAGGTACTTAAGTAGGTGCAAACGAAAAAACAACCCATTAGGTACTCTTCAGATCAACCGATAATAGTTATTTTACAAACTACGTTTAAAAATCCCATTTCACCCCTCCTTTTTTGAAGGCGGTTAATTAATATAGGTAATAAAACCTTCCCCGAGTGTCACAAACATTTTTCTGAAAACCGCATCAAAGTCGGTTCAGACGATTGCCAAATAATCGCGCGCTAACAGATATACATACTTACATATTCAAACTGAGAACCTCCTTGTTTCTCTTTGAAACTGGTTAAAAAAGTTAACTACTACACATTATGAGATTATTAATATATACAACTTAAAATATAAATAATTTAAAACTAAAATATTTACACCTTAAAAAAGATAATAATAAAAATATATCATAAGGCATCAAAGAAAATATTTTCCTCATCGCCACCGTGAGGTAGGGTGCCCAAAAGACTGGCGGCATTGCCACGTTGAATGGCAAAAAAACTACAAAAAAATACAATGACGTCACAATTTATTACGGTCCAAAAACTTACAACATAATTTAGAGATTTTAGAGTATACATTTTAGTATGCCCCTTACCGAGCTGATAGAGGTACTTATATCAGCGATCTAATCAGCTTCAATGATTAACTTAAGAGAGAGACAGAACATAAATATTTTCGAAGACTTGCAATCTTTTTCAACGTTTTTGTAAAGATTCAAATAAGCCTGGTATCTTCCTACCGTGTTGCTGTTAACTGGCAAGTCGTCCGTGTCCACTATGAACTCCAGGATAGGGTACTCGCCCTGTAAAAAAGGACCTTAATGTAGACCTATTTTCGAAGAAAAATTGTTCTGATAAATTCTGAAGTCATTGTGTTGAAGTGTCGCTGCCACTATTAACTTTTTTTACTTTTGATTTTTTTTATAACGCAATGGAATCCTAGTGGACTTGGAACGTTTACTCCCGCCCATACAGCAGACGACTGACTCCCACACTAGTCAGTCGCTCGCAGTCCTCTCCTATGGAGGTCGCAGATGAGCTACCACCTCGCGGCGTTGACGGCCGGCGCCTTTACGGCGGATGGGGAGAAAGCTAGAAGCCTCACTCTCCCTTTCAGTCACTACCACTATCCAGTTAAATTAATGGCACCAAACCCTAAGCTGGCATTTTCAAAAAGTCAATGTTTTTGCCATTCCCTATCAGACAAACCAGCCCTGATTTTATGCAGAGAATGATAGATAGAATAGAAACGTTACTCATAGTCCAGCTATGGACTCTTATGAGCTTTTAACGATGTAACATATCTAATAAACAATACGTACCGCACTAAAAGGACATTCGTCAGGTATGCCAAAGTACTTCATATAGGAGACGTAATCACTATCTTCGCCTTTCGCTACTTCGGCACAGAGGTCACATATCTCGTGTGAATACATTAATTCGTATTTACCAGACGCTTCTTTGTATAGTGTAATTTCTACCTGGAAAGAAAAATTAACTAATTTTACGGAAGAGCTCAATGTCATCTGGAGTTGGTCTCCTAAGATCGCTTTGGGGAACTGATGCTTGGAGCCTGCAACCTGTGTATTTATCATTTATGATGTAAGCAACTTGTAACTTACTGTAAAGTTTAGCTTTTGTATGGATTACATTCCGAAAAGTGTTACTTAGGTTACAAACTAGGCCAGATTACAAACGAAGCCCAAGTCCCCAGATTCGACATCAGCGCCATCTATGCAACAGCAAAACTCAAGGAAACTTACCATTGTATCGTCTCCAACGTCCATCAAGAAGTTGACGTTGCCACGCATATAAGCTATGGTTTCATTATACCGGCCCACTACTACTCCAGAAGTGTCCACGTAAGCTTCGCTCACTTCATCGCAGCTCTCCAATTGGGAGACCATGTTCACCACAAATTGCTTTAGGAAAAAATTAAACCATTCTTAGTTTAATTAGTTTAAAATACTATTTAATGTTATTTAAATACCAATTTTTTATATATTTTTCTATAAACTTAACTCGTCCTACCGCAATGGGAGAAAAGCGTGAAGTTATGTCTCTATTTTATGCGGCATGTACCTAGATGAGATTTTTCTCCACATTGTGTACATAAGTAGAAACAAATTACTCTGTAGGTATGTTTACTTCGATTATGATGTTTACTATTATTCTTGGCGAAAAGAGTCTATTGCACTGCTGGCTAAGAGTCACTTCTTTTCAAAAGGATATCCCATCCACTCGCATGAAGCGCTTCGCTTCAAGCTTCCTTGAGTAACAAGTGGAATTATTTGTTAGAGTCTGTTTCCTGAAGATATAACCTGGGTGTCTTCAAGGCCCGAGTGAATAGGTTGCTTGTGGGCAGACGTACTCCGTTGTAGAGACGTACTCCAGCTGGCCACTTACGCCCACATAGTGGCCAAACGTTGAGCAATAAAATATAAAAAAAAACGAAAGTAAAGGCATGATTGCACCAAGCTTCCTCAGGCATAGTATAGGACACAGGACTTTGAAATCCATGTTTACTCAGTGATTTTCTTTAACCATAGGTAGCTCCTTTAAAATACCTTTCGCAGGTAGAATGATCAAAATTGAAACTCACCACTTCGCCAGCCGGATCGCACCAGCAAAACTTCACCAAAGAAAACAATATAATGGGAACAAATAACATGATTGCTCTTCGTAAATGTGTAGCAAAATGATCATTATTGCTCTCCCGCTATATTTAATATATATTCAAAATCGCGTGCATGATCAGATATGATAGACTTTTATTCTTATTAGCTTGTAACTGATACGGGAAGTGTTTTAATAACATGTTACGACTTGTCAATTTGATGAATATAATAATAATATCATGCAATGTACGTAGTTAAGTATTTGCAATATTTAAATATAGTTATTAGTTTTATCACATAGTAATATGTAATTCTACGACAATGATTTGTCTAGGGTACTTGATACTACTATTTTAAATGTGAAAGTTAAGATGTATGTATATTTCTCAATCAATAACTCCAAAATGGCTGAACGGATTCGGATGAAATTAGGAAGAGATAATTATAGTTGGAATGGCATAAACATGCCTCAAATCAGGTGAGAATCAATGTAGAGTACAAATTATAATTTGAGGGATGTGTATTGAATAAATAAAACAAAAGTTTCAAAGATTTGTACGAACGATTTGCTGCGGCCGAAATGAATAACCGATCACCTAGATCAATCTAGGTTTTAACAGAAATTCTATAGAACATGAGTCAAAAGCCTACATCAATCTATTCCGGATATTAATTTCGGTCGTAAGACCCAGTTTATTTGATAGATAATTAAAAAACAATACATAAAAATCTCTTGCTACTTAAAGTTAGTGTTTACAAGACACGACTTCGCAGGTACTGTATTTAATTGACAAACTAATTTAGTACTATGTACTTTAAAATATATCTGCTGGGTACACTAGCTATCTTACAATTGCTGATATTCGCTAGGAACGTGATTGAAGTATGTTTAGGCACTAATATCTATAATACATACATACAAACAAATTATTGCAGATTTCTAACGAAATAAAACTAGTAAATCGGCTAGAAAAATAGAATTTAATTTATCCTCAACCTCTAAGCGGCGAAATGTATTAAAGTACAATCACAACAGTAAAGTTTTTAAATATTAAGGACTATTAATGAATTATATTCATATATCAATCTACCTGGATCCACAAAGTTTCGTAGTAATATGAAGAATAAACTAGCACCACAAACTAAAAAATAAAAAGCAAAAAATAAAGTGTTTAATAAATTTATTAAAAAAAATACAAAACAAAAAAAACGCTCGTCCATGCTTGCTACCCAACGTTATAAAATTACAAAATAAACTAGTAAATAGCATGTGTTAACAAGTTATATACATAAATATATAATTCGTAGTGCTTAAACTTGCAAAGTGAGGAATAACAACGTACGACACGATACGTGTACGTGACAGACGCTAACAGTAACGAGAAATGCCAGTAAATATAAACGACAAAGCCATATAATATTATGCAACCCGATAAAACTAAAAATTTCGAAAAATACATCAATAAAATACCTCTTTCTATATAAAATACAACATCTTTTACGCTAAGAGAGACCAATGCGGTGCGAACGACTAGTTCGCAGACTAAGAAGTATATAGTTTAAATATATTATCTTATTATGTCAATAATATATTACTTTTCAAGTCTTAAATTACAGATAACCTAATACTGAAAAAGTAACTTTGACATCCACAGAGGGAAATATTTATACCAACTTACTGTCCGATATGTTAAATGTAAATGTTATATTCAAGAAAACTTTCGAATGCCGAGATACCGCCTACAGATTTTAATTACGCGAAATTTCATTAACAAGTTGGAGAGAATTCAAATAAAGTTGGCACAAATATACAACTAGATAAAAAACAGAGCCCCAAAATTCGTAATAAAATAAATACTCTTAACACTAATCAAATCCTTCCAAACTAATTTCTAAACAAAGTTCGGGACTCCGTTCTTAAAAGCACCTTACAATATTAAATATAAACTTTATAGTTTTAGTTCAATCTATACTATATACTAAAAATATAGCTTCTTTTCTCGTAATATAATTATGGAAGAATGCTTAAACGTATCTGCATTGAAAAAAACGCGGAACCATAAACATTTTATAGAAACAACGTTCAATTACATGCTAACTTTAGACTAGAGACAACTAAAACATTCATAAAGATATAATTTCCGTTAAGTGTATAAATATAGTTCACTCTAGAGGCCGGCCCATACAAATAAGAACAAAATACCATCGAGCGAACACATGTCCGAACTATCGACACAAACTAAAATCGAACCTCCTCGCTTCCACTTCGGTTAGCGGGCGCGCTGCATACTGCGCGTAGAGAACATAAGAGAACCGTGCCTCGGCACTCGACTAAACTAAGTATACACTCCCAACGATACACTGCGGCTACTGCCCCGCAGTCACGGATGCAACTAAGACGCCAATATGCACTTCGCCCGCCTTTCATTGTACTGGGGCCGGCGCAAAGAAAAAGGTACCTTAACGTTAAACAAATTAGTGTCGGAATGCGACAGGGAACCCGTCAGTCCGTGTGCAACCAAGCGATCAACGATATATGCGTGTTTTAGAAATAATTATAAGGTAGTTGTTAACAAAATATCGAGGGATATATTTTGGAGTCCATCGGCTTTCGAAATTCAATGAACCTGAAATAGAAATTATCGTGTTATTTTCGAAATAGCATCAAAATTAAAGTAGGTTTTTACTAATGAAAAACGTTGCTATTGAACATTCCAGAAAGGACTAGCAGAGTCATTTTTCAAGAGTCGGTGTGTTTTGCAATGCTTGCGTGTCAGTTATCGCGCATACTGCTTACAATCTTGGCCTCTAATAGTGTCTTGAATCTAGTCGAGTTATTTCAAACAGTTACGTAAGTAAACCAAAAAACATAATTAATATAGTAATGTCTCTCGAGAGTTACATTCAAGTGTCTAGTATTATGTAGTAGTGTAACATATACATACCTCAGCCTGCGGCTTCTCGTGCCTGGGCGGCGCGGGTTCGACACAGAGCAGACGCGGCTTGTCGTCGCGCGGCTCGTCGGCGGCGCCCCCCGGGGCCGCGCCGCCGCCCGCCGCGCCGCCGCTGCCGCCCAGCGACATCTGCGCCAGCGCCGCCAGCACGCTCTCCATGCTCACACTGGACCCACTGTCACCCTCGCCCTGTACAAAACAAGATCAATATTAGCTAAAAGAGAACAGATTTTTAGTACTGAACAATAGTCCTCTTTAACAAAAACATACAATACAGGAGCCTATTAAGAAATAAATACAAGTTACTTTTCAGAGAACCCACGTATTATGATTAAAGTTGAGAAAAATCTAAAAAGACGTTCTAAAACTATAAATCGTGAATAAAAGAGAATAATAGACTAACCTTTTGTGGGCTTGGCTTGAAGAAGTGTAGATAACAGAAGCCACGGAATCCCTGAAAATCAATCCTTATATAAAATTTTCTACATTACACCAATCATAATTAACTAACAACTAAGTAACAACATTTGTGTAAATGTTAAACGAGACTACCCGTCTAGTTTCAAGCCACACCGGGGCCCATAATCAAGGGTTCTTGAAATGAGTCAAGTATCCTTGTTGTACAGTTCATAAATATTCATCCAAAGACAATTTTATCGATATACATATTCATTTTTACCTTCCAAACCATGATCTGTGGCTTGACTCCGCGTTCAGAAAGCGCCTGTTTCAGATCGCGCACTCTTGTATTGGGACTTATGTTAGAAATCTAAAAAAAAATAATTCATTAGGTATGACTATCAAATATCGTCCAAGTAAATTGACTTGAAACAACGGAACTAAATAAAAGCAGACTCGTCAATCGTTGGACTGACCACGTTAGATCAAGTCTAGGGAGTCTTTCAAGCTTTCAGGTAGAAGCAATGAGCTGAAGATGAGAGGCCCATAGCAAGCAGGGCACAGTAACCGGTTATAACGATAATGATTAAACAAACATAATTCTTATTACCTTAACAGAAAAGTCGATATCAGGACGTTGTCTTTTGGGACGACGTGGTTTCTCGTCCTTGTCCTTGCTGGCAGACTTTTGACTGTTACGCCGACGCGTGGATCGACGCGCCTTGCCGCCGCCCTTACCTTCCTCGCCCTCCGTTGTGTTACCCTGCGTGATGGAATAGTTATAATATAGGTACTAATGCGAGATGTACAGATAGCAAAAATAGTAATAATGGTCGGAAACCAACCAACAAGCAACATCATAAATAAGTCCGATTAAACAAGAAATCTTAAATTTTTGTTCCCTGAAATACGTAAAAAGTACATGTCTAAGCACTCCTCGCCCCTTATTTGACGTATACTATAAAGTGGTCATTCAGAATGAGAGATCAGTATGAGTTAATTTAAAACGAAACTCCGAACCCATTTATGCCGTGTTTCTTAAATATAATATTTCATAAAATACCTCTCCCTCGCTATGGCTCTTGTGCGAGCGAGTGCGGTGTCTCAGACGGCGCGGGCGCTGCGCGGCGCGCTCCTCGACGTCTGTGTCCACTTCCTTCAGGGGACACGCACGTCCTGCACTGTAATATATTACAATAGTAATTTTAGCATTACAGGTAACTAAAAACTAAAAAATAAAGTTATAAATCAGCGTTGACTTTAATTACGTTGGGAACTAGGTAGACTAAAAAAAGTCCTATACATGGCAGGGTTTGCATTAATCGCCACGTTTGATTAATGTTATGGAGATCACAGGTTAAAAAGTTTAGGTTTTGCGGAGTGTTATTTTGTCTGTTTTGGCTTAAGTCATTCTGTCTCCGAGAGAAGTGGAAACTTATTTTGTCTGTTTTGGCTTAAGTCATTCTGTCTCCGAGAGAAGTGGAAACTTATTTTGTCTGTTTTGGCTTAAGTCATTCTGTCTCCGAGAGAAGTGGAAACTTATTTTGTCTGTTTTGGCTTAAGTCATTCTGTCTCCGAGAGAAGTGGAAACTTATTTTGTCTGTTTTGGCTTAAGTCATTCTGTCTCCGAGAGAAGTGGAAACTTATTTTGTCTGTTTTGGCTTAAGTCATTCTGTCTCCGAGAGAAGTGGAAACTTATTTTGTCTGTTTTGGCTTAAGTCA